CTTGTTGCCATGCAAGAGACAACTGATGATATTTTAAATGAGACTAAAAGCACCAAGGGAAGAGCATGACCTGATATACAAAGGCAACTCATTCCACAGAAGATTCTCCTTTTGAATTTAATCGACACTTGGGAACAACTAGCTGAAACTGTTGTGCCGAGGCCTAGATGAAGTATGACAGTGAAGACGCTCGCCAATGTCAGTAGGTGCCATTCAAAACTTTAAAAACAAACAACAATAACGAACTGGATCCTAAATTGCACTGGGAGCCAGTGAAGGGATGATAAAATTGGTGAAATGCTAGCAAGTTTTTTAGTCCCAGTTAAAATCCTAGCAGCTGCATTTTGGACCAGTTGCAGAGTACAATTAAAGCATGAGAAACTCCTGAATACAGAGAATTGCAATAGTCTAATGATGGTTTCCACATCCTTAGAAAACAAAAAAAAACTTCAGCTTAACAATGTTTCTAAATTAATAGAAACCACTTCTGACTACAGAATTAATTTCCTGCTCAAACTTCAACTCAGTGTCAAATATAACTCCAAGACTCTTTGCGTGATTGTGGACCTCCCCGTGTTCGTGTGGGTTTCCTCTGAGTGCTCTGGTTTCTCCAACAGTCTAAAGACATTCAATATAGGTGAACTGAATAAACCAAATTGGAGTATGTGTGAAATGTGTGAATGTGTATAGGTGTTTCCCAGTACTGTGTTGTAGCTGCAAGGGCATTGGCTGGAATAGTTGGCAGTTCATTCCACTGTGTCAATCCCTGATAAATAAGAAACTAAGCTGAAGGAAAATGAATGAATGAATGGAAGCTAAACATCTAGTTGTGTGTTCTTGGAAAAAAGACAGTCCTGGTGTATCTCAGTGAATAAAGGGAGTGACCTCTTGCCTTGCCCTAGGAAAGATTACCAATTTGGGAGAGTCTAAATGATGACTCTTGTTGTATTTGTTTTTTCTTTCTTTCAAAGTGTATTAGGCTGTTCTGAGTTTGTATATTATTCTTTTGCTGAAGTGAAAATTTAAAACCTTTGTCAATTTGTATGAGAATGTTTAAACTAAAATTGATGTTCATAAAAAAGTATAGTGGTATCTTGAAAGATATTTACCAAATGCGAGTGGTTTGGATTTGCTGAGTGGAGAAATAAGGCATGAGTTTTCCCTCCCATCAGAGAGGTCATCTGTTGGTGAGAGTTTACTGTCCTTTAGACATGTTCTAGCAGATTCCATTTCATTGTTGTCAGATGACTCTATGGAATAAATAAAGCACATTATTAGGTGTTTGTTCCTCTACACTTCAGCTTTTTTTTTACTTACAAATCAGAAAAAAAAACTGTATTATGAGATATAAATGAACAATGTAAAGAGAAAAATCCTCAAAATTGTGACACATAAACACAAGAATTCTTCTGACTTTTTCTCTGAATGTGAAGTTTAGTTCTTGCAATTCCAGCACTTATTTTTCTCAATTGTGATTTCTTGCGATAGTGAGTTCCTGCATTTCTGACTTTATACTTTTTTTTAAATAAACTTGCAATTTATCAGCTTATAAGTTAAAACGGCAACATACAAAGAAAAATATTTGGAAGAAACCCTGACACATTAATGCTATAAAAAAGCTACAATTATGTGAAACAAATAAAAATTATAAAGAAAAACTGAAAATTGCAAGAAATAAAGTTGCAGACGTAATAAAAAAGTCAGTTTTGTGTCATTTTTGTTTATAATTTTGAGTTTATATCTCAGTATATATACATTTTTATGCAAAAGTTTGGGCACCCTTGATCATTTTCAAAATTGCAAGCTATAGCCTGCAGGCCTTTCAAATCAGTAAATTAATTTGGATATATTTTATACTGTAGGGAAAAAGCAGCATTTCAGTTCTGACATAACATTTATTTAATCAACAGATTTGATGCAATTTGAGTGCAAACAAAAGAGGAAGATGCAAAAATTTGGGCACCATAACAGAATATTGACATCCATCTTTTGTACAGCCACCTTTTGCTGAAATAACAGCCTGTAAATACTTTTTAAAGCCAAGGATAAGTCCCTGAATTCTTTCTGAAGGCATTTTGGACCATTCCTCCTTGCAAAATTCCTCCAGTTTAGTCAGGTTTGATGGGTGCCGAGAGTGAACAAAATGATTGAGGCTTGTCCAGATGACCCTTTGCATACCTCAAATGACTCTTCTTGTTGGCAGAAGGCAAAAAGTTTTTTTTTTTTTTGCATAACTGTCTATTGAGCTGTTCTTTGTAAAAGTCCGCTGAACTGTGGAATGATGTACAATGACATTCAATGACAAAAATGAAAATCAGCAGCAAGATGTTCTTGGAGCTCTGGAGATGGTCTGTGGTTTGTCTGTGACCATTCTAACCATTCTTCGCCTTCGCCTTTCAGATTTTTTTCTTGGCCTACCACATTTTTTCTTCTCAAGACCTGTTCCTTAGGCCTTCCATTTTCTTACTTTATTTCTGACTGTGGAGATTCTAAACTTTTGTGATAGCTTTTTTCATCCTTCTTGAATGTTGAAGAATTATCGTTTTTAGGTCATTAAGAAGTTCTTTTGAGGCTCCCATGTTGCTACTTTCAGGTTCACAATAAGAAGCACAACTAACAATCAACTATCTTAAATATCCCTTTTTATGATTGTTGCACCTGTGTCTGGATTGTTCAGGTTCATTGAGTCACTCAAATCAATTTTGTGTTGTAATCAATCAGCATTAAGTGACTGCAAGTTTTGAAATCCACATAAAAGAGAGGGTGCCCAAACTTTTTCATAGCCTATTTTTAGTTTACATTTAATTCACACATCTCAATGCGGCTACACTCTGGATTTCTGTCTGAAAAAAACATGACATCATCTAGCTTTCTCTAGAAACTCAATGGCATTTCACTGTAATCTCCTCTTATAGAGAAAGAGCACATAACTATACAGCCACACAATCAATATATAATATTTTTGCTTGTTATCTCCTTGTTCAAACAACTTATTTCAAATGGGCTGAATCAATAAAATTGAGGTTTTTGGGGGACAACACACTTTTTTTGTTCAATGTACTTAAATTTGTAAAAAAAAAAAACTATAAAGTAAACTTAATTAAGTTATGTTGAGACAGCATGAAGGAATTGTGTGGATTTTTTAAACATTTTTCACAATTATGACTATTTCTAACAAACCTACAACATAGTATAAAAATAAACGTAAAAAATAAAAAGATTGGAAAGAATGAAACAAAAAAGAAAGCTCGTAATTTTAATTTAGTTTCTGTTTTTAGTTTTTGTTAGAATGTATGAACAGATAATTCACAGCTCTGAGAAAAAGGTTAGAGCTCCAATAAACTCTCAATTTTGTGTGTTTGAATTTAAATTTGAGTTTTTCTATTTTAATTTGTGAGATGTAAATCCACAATATTTGGAAAAAAGCTCATAATTGTGTGATTAAAAAGTCACAAGTGAACACAAACTGCTCACCAGAGTGCTGAAAAGTGGATATAGCAAGAGCTGAATTAATTTGTGCTTCATCTTCACGAAAGCTAGATTCTGATCCAGTCGGTGAGCGGCCACCATGTTCATCCTCATGATCACAGTCCATCTTCACAAAGTTCTCTCAGAGAATTCACTGCTACAACAACAAGTGTAAAGATGCAGAGTGAAAATGCAGGAGCAGTTCAACTCCAAACCATAGCATTAAATATTCAAGCACAGGAAGCAAAGTAGATGTGCTATAGTCTGTGACATATATTAAATACTAATGGTAAAATACTGTGGTGAGAGAATGCTAATTGATCTCTTGACATATTGATGCATCATGCAACTAACAGTAAATAATGTCAACACCACGTCAGATTTTTAGTTCTGTGACTAATTTGCAACATTTACTGATTGATGTGATAATTATGGAGTTGTGGATTTGATATGCTGTAATAATTTACAGTGCATGCAAAAAACACAAAGCCTAGCATAAAAAGTACTGATGGAGCAAAAAGTGCCAGAGTCATTAATCTATTATTAATCTCAATCCATTTGGCAAACATATTGTGTGACAGAGATAAGAGGCATCTTAGATGTAAAGAGGGCAATAAATTTCAGCAACCTATTAGGCCAATGTTTGCTTACCTCGAGTCAAAATAATGAAAAACTTCTATGAGTATTTCAAATTCTTGTTTTGAAGGGGATAAAATCCTAAAACTGTTCAATTGTGCAGAATAGTTTAGTTTAACCCTGAAATTAAAAACATCAAAACAAATGTATGATATTATTATCATCACAAAGAATCCAGAATTACAAAGTATTATAGCCTCCTTAATTTCTCAAACTTCACCAAATATAATTAGGAAGATTTATCGTAAAATCAACAACAAAAAAACACTGATGTTAGGCTACTGATTATCATCATCATCATCTTTCGGCAAAGTATACAGATACCAGCAAGATAACAGCAATGTAATTTTTATAATCTTTACAATTTATTTCTCGAAGTTATTTGAAGAAAAGCACTATCGTTAATCGTTTAAGTTTATAAAAATTCACTAACCTTCATCACCACATTCATCTCATCGCTCGTCAGATGGCAGATTGATTCTCTGCTCTTTAGGGGCCGTTGCCTCATCATTTGTTAGCATGCTCATAGTGTTGATAGTGCGACTGTGCACCACACCCCCTACCAATAAATAAATCAATTAATAACTGCCACATATTAAAGTAACAATTATTTTAAAAGTACATAAAGCATCATAATTGTCAATAATAATAAAAATAATAATAACAAAAATGATAATAATAATAATAGCTATTATTATTATAGCGTAGATAATAAGGATAATTATTATTGTTGATATTTTATTGTATTAAAAATAAAAGTTAATATTAAAATTAAAAAAAAAACATAATCATCAAGTCTTTCACTGATCACTGTTACAGATTTTCCTGATGGGGACTTTTATTATGACAATTAGCCTTCTGCGCACATACTCAGCCGAAACGACGTTGTTAGCTGTCTGCCCACGGTCAGAATATTTCTGTTTATAATACCGCTTCATTTCTATTTTTATGTGGGCATTTATTTCAGTTATTATAGTCGCAGCATTCACTATGCAGTGATATATTATAGGAATTAATTGATAGTTCATCCGTTTGATCGGATCCTTTTGAAGGCGGGGAGCAGCGATGGTAAGTCTGCTAACTTAGCTAACTTAACGTTATTATTGTTTGATAGCATATTAGCTTTTCCACTTGAGTACTTAAAATATAACACATTAAGTGCTCCATAGTCAGTTATTGGAATTAAACAATGAGTATTTTCACTAATAATTATTTTACTAATACTTATTTAGATTTTTATGTAGTACTATATCGATTATCCAATGGTTGTCAAAAGCTATCATGCTAATATATAGTGTCATGTTGAAGTATTATTTTAATTTAATTAAGATGTTTAAAATGAGTATGTCTTTTCCTTACGGTTATGTCGCCTTTATAATGAGGAAAATAGTGTGATATCGACCATGTTTAATTTGTAATGTTCTCTTTAATGTTAGCTAAGTGGTTTGTTGTTATAATACTCTATTCTCTTTACAGGACAGCGAAATGTCTGATATGGACCAGACTCCAGGTCTGGACAACAGTATGGAAAAAGGAGAAAATGCTCCTCTTTACTGCATTTGTCGAAAATCAGACATCAACTGCTTCATGATGTGAGACGAATATATTTAACCATGTTTTTTCAAAATACTATATATGTGTTCAAATAGAGAGCATAATGTGTCTTAAATCTTTTCTCCTCAGTGGTTGTGACAACTGCAATGAGTGGTTTCACGGTCACTGTATTAATGTCACAGAGAAGATGGCCAAAGCTATAAGAGAGTGGTACTGTCAACAGTGTCGGGGTCAGTGACTCAAGACTTTTTTGTTAAATTAATGTTGTTGGCTTTACTATAATTAAATATGTACTTAACAATATTTTATATATAATATATATTTTCAGCAAGGGATCCATCACTTTCAATACGATATCGAAAGAAGAACCGCGATAAAGATGTTGAGCCCGAGAGGGTTGAGAAACGATCCAGCACTCCAGAATACAAGATTGATAAGCGACGTGGGTCTAAAGTAAGTGCTTGTTCGTTTTACCACATTAGTTAGCTGACTTCAGTTAGATTATGGGTTATTAATGAAGGGAAACACGTTCACCAATTTTATAAACACTTTAAAAAATGGTATAAGAATAAATCTGATAACTGTTTTGTGATTTTATTAAAACATTTAATTTTAGTTTACCTTGAATAGATTTTAATTAAATCCTTTTGGTCATGAATGGGTATGACTTTGTGGTTTGAATGACAGTTAGAAAGCATAACAATTTTAAAAGGATAATTAATTAATTATCATTCATGATTTTATCATCAAACCATTTTTGCTTTAAATATTCCTGAGGGTGTGTTTTACAATAAAAACTGACATTAGTGTGTGTGTGTGTTTTCTGTAAACTCAGTCAGAATACTTATTGAAAGTGAATATTGATATTGATGTTTGATAGACAGTGAAGATAGTGATTGTTTATGCTTGAACAAATGAAAATAGGACACCTTCTATATATGGGAAAAATACGTATTATGCTTTATTAAAGGCATAAACAAAGAACACTGATCACACACTTACCTAATCTGTAAAGACAGGACAATCAACACAAACTGGAGCCATGTCTTTTTTTTTTAAAAAAAGAAGACGAGTGGCGAATCTGGAATTCAACATTTGCAGGTTGTAAAAGCTCTTGGCTCAAAAATGTTCCTTACAAACAAATATTTTGTTGCATGTTAACAGACCACTGTAATCCACACATGTGGGTCCACACACGAGCTGTGCTCTCATTGTGGGGAAATAAAAACAAAACCTTCATTGCATCACATTTATAAATGCAACACTGGCGACCTTTGCCTCTGAACAATTCTTCAACTACTTGTTTGAATTACAGTTGGCAACCCAACATGGCATCTCTCTCAACACTGTTAACAAGTAAAAAGAGTCTTCGTAGCTATGTTATGCATATTAATGAAGTTGCATCTCATTCACAATAGATTGGTTCAAACCAAGTCCTTCTCATAAATTAATGAACAGATGTGTTGAAAACTCAATTACGTCTTTGTACTTTCTAGTCTAGACAGCCGATCTCCACGCTAGAATTTACACAATGATCTCATCGCCATGACTTTGCTTCAAAAATTATTTTTAAACCCGAAGTGCAAATTTGCTCTAAACAATGCAAAACAACCAATTTTCACTTGTTAGTGAAATATATGTGTCCTAATAGCGTTTTTAGCAACGTGGCACATACACACACACACACACACACACACACACACACACACACACACACACACACATATATATATATATATATATATATATATATATATGTGTGTGTGTGTGTGTGTGTGTGTATGACTGTCAACCTGTCAACATCTCAGAATATGTGTTTTTTCATGACCTTTCAACATCTATAATGTTGTAATATTTAATTATTCAATCTAATAGAAGCAACATTGTCCTTTAACATTGTGTTTCAGGTGAAGCGCTCTGCCCGTATGTGTGGTGAATGTGAACCCTGCACCAGGACAGAGGACTGTGGTCATTGCGACTTCTGTAAAGACATGAAGAAATTTGGAGGCCCAAACAAGATTCGTCAGAAGTGTCGTCTGAGGCAGTGTGTTGTTCGTGCTCGGGTGAGCAGCTTTATATTCAGCTTGTTTGTTTATTGTTTAGCTTTAGACTTGAAGTAAATTTTTCTTCATATTGTTTTTTCAGAAAATGCTGCGTGTTCGGGATGAGGAGTTTTCGCTGCGTGAGAGGAAAGACAATATAATGCACAGGGATAGACGATACTCAGATGATTATGATGAGAACGATATGGATCTATATGAGCACTACAAGGACAGAAATGCGGTAACTACTAATTGCTGCAGTTCAACCACAACCACTTAGTATATACATTCATTTGAATTCTTGTCAAGTTATAAGAGGTACAAAAGTACATTTGCTTATTAGGGATGATGAGTTGGGTCTCAGCACTTTAAAATGGATCTGCTTTTTTATTTTTATATATATTAATGTAGTCATGGGGCAGTGAGGATGATGATGGCCAACTTTACAGTCCTGTTCCACGGAAGAAAGCTATAAAAGTCAAGCACGTCAAGAGGAGAGACAAAAAATTTGACAAGAAGGTACAAAGGGGAGCAGAGTATTTAATGCATATTTGATTGCATTACAGAACTGATCTTCATTTGATCGTGTTTATCATTCACAGAAAGAGTCCCGTCGCCACAAGCAGAAGCAGAAGCACCGTGATCGTTTGCGACACAGTGATAGGACAGACGGCAGACACGGAGGAGACACGCAACAGTGCCTGGGGCCAAACTGCATTGAGCCGGCACGGCCAAACTCAAAATACTGCTCTGAGGACTGTGGCATGAAGCTGGCCGCCAAGTAGGTTATTTCATTAAGTGCAGCCGACCAGTGTGGAACACAAGGTTATACCAATACCAGATTAATGTGCTTTAAAGTGCCCCTAATGTACTGTTTTAAAAAAGTTCATCAATTTTGCTTTGGAGGTCTCTTACAATTAGGTTTATGTCCATCTGAGATGATTTTGATGAAGAAATGATTTGTTTAAAAGTGCAGTAGGTGGTCTGCCAGAATGCTAACGTTAGCATGATTTAGAAAATGTATGTCCCTCCCCTGGCCTCCAAGCCACGCCTATTTGAATCATGAATGTGCACCGAATAGATAAAGATAGACAACCTTCTATAACACTAGATTGTGTCATTCGCCAGTTTGAAAACTCTATGGAGACATGCACTTTGTCCAGCGTAGTTGTTGACAGGCCAGCGTGTGCAGGAATTACAATTCCCTCAAATTGGCTTTGGGCTAAAATTGGTTTTATATTCTGACATTCAGACTTTCTCCTTAATTTAATTTCAGAAAAGTATTGTTTCAAATTCTAAATAGTAAAATCATATAATTAGCCAATGACTATAAAATACAACACAGTCAGTTAGGTCATAGCTACACACTATTTCAGATCCAATATTCAAAGAAACGTGTCACAGGCTGTCACTGTTGAAAAATTACCAAATGTGCGAATATAAATCAAACTTCACCCCAGTAAAGTAGCGCTAGAAACAGAAATATCCTGTCATCTTTTTACATTACACTTAAGTTACCAAGATAACGAGTGTCTTTTCATTTTCAATTGTGCTCGCTGATCCTCGTACATCGCTGGTTTTCACCTCATTTTACACTTGAACAACTAAATGAATGCCTGTATCTACATCTATATTATCATTGCTGTAGAAGGTACTCCATGAAATTGAAAATAGTCAATCTTTTGACAGTGGCTAAAAAATGCCTTAGTGTTTTTAAACACTAAATGACTAAAATAGTTTTTTAAACGTACCTTTCTAAAAGTAATACTTCAGCCATGGTGTCACCCTTCAGATCGTTGTTTTGAACTGCCTAACATTATTTCCCTCCAGTGTGCAAAAGTAATTCGATATTGATTCAGGATTTAGAAAAGTCCTGATTCTGCATTTTTGGCAGAAGCTCTTTCAAAACAAATCTTTCTTTTCATTGATACTAGGCCACGTTGGTCTTTCAGAAAGAAGACTTTCAGGTAAATGCTGAGTTTGCTGAGTTTGTCTCTCTCTGTCATCAGTAGCTCTATGCTTTATATTCATGTGTAAATGACGGATCTGTCTGGATGTATAGGGTGCGCAGAAATATAAATTTAAATTTGTTGACAAGACACAGTTTGAGTTACCTGTCGTAATTAAGTTATTTGTTGGCCAGACAATTTTGAATTAGAAAAAAACATTTTTTAGTCCTATTTCTTAACCAGAATAAAGAAATGCATATAAATACATTTAGATCATTTACTTTAATCATTACTATTGGAAGGTGAAGAGACTTTTAATCAGCACAGCAAAAAGTGTTTCTGTAGACAATCACCTACTGCACCTTTAAAATGACCTCTGTAAACAACTTTTCTGACAGCCTGCTTGCTCTGATTGGTCAAATGGCTCTTAAACGCTACTAATACCGCAAAGACTTATCATTTCTGGGGCTAACGTTTACAGTAAAATGTGATGGATTTCATCATGACACAAGCTGCTAATTAGTGATGCTCGATACCACAGGTTTTTTTTCTGATTCAATACTGAGTAAAATTCAGGCTGGTATCGGCGATACTGATGTGTTAAATGCGAAAAAGTAGATAATTTCAAATCATAGCTTTAAAGCAGAGTATTTTTAAACTTTATTTATTTTAAACTGAAGTATATTGAGGTAGCGGTCTCATTTACAATAAAGACAAGCTAAGAAAACAACAGAAAAACCAAAAAGAGGATAGAATTAAAAAAAACAAAATATTAGTATTAAAACAGTAAACATTATAAAATGGCAAATCATTTAAAATTGTGTCTTGCCTGATTGTGGAGCTGAAATAGCTCCACATGTGACTTTGTTTACGCTCTCGGTCTGCCATTGTTGTGACTGGACTGACTGTGAGTGACTGACGAGCTGCACTGCACCCATTACGCACTTTCCCAGGCGGAAGGAAAAAAAGTTCCCACCAACTGCATATTATTTAAAGGAATATCTCATTAGTTTAGTTACTTTCCACTTTGTTCCTGTTAAAAATATTAATTACCTCAAATTACTGAAGTATGAAAAATATTGATGTTTTTTTTAGAGAATCGATCTTATAAAGTATAAAGATCTGGGGTCCGTTCTTCCTACGTGGATTACTCAGTTAGCTGGATTTGGTTATTGACGATTTGACACGATCCAGGATCGTTTCGTTCTTCAAAGCTGATCCGAGAGTTCTTGCCAAAGCAACAGTTCTGGTAGCTCAAACCTGGTCGGGAGCAGGCTCAATTCATATAAACAGGATTAGAACAGGATTGGGTCAGTTTAAGCAAATATAATACTGAAAGTATGTACCAAATGCTTATATTTTCTTACAGTTGTTATGTACACTTGGGAAAATAGTAAATATGAGTAAATTTTTTATCTTTGCTTAAAATAAAGATCACGATTCTCTCACGATTCTGTAAATATAGAATTATTATTTTTTTCTCAAACATATGGTAAAACAACAACAATAATAATATGTGTAGGTCTACTGGCTTCTATAAATAATTCTATTCTACTTATAATAATTCTGATGTTGAATTATTATGTTTGAGATACATGCTTGCAATCTGTCGTTGACAACATTATAAAACCATTTTATTCACTGGTAAAATAATTTGTCATTTTCAGATTATATTTAACAATATATAGGCTAGAGTAGTTCTACTGACACTGTAAACAATTATTTTTATGCACAACTCTGTTCGCTATGAAAGAAAAAACATATCAATTGCTTGTCATAATCATAACTCTAAAATGCGATATGATCATTTAAATCACAGGTGTCAAGCTCAGTTCCAAAAGTGCTGCAGCTCTGCACAGTTTAGTTCCAACCCTAATTAAACACACCTGATCAAACTAATTATGTCCTTCAGGCTTGTTTGAAACCTACAGTTAAGTGTGTTGGAGCAGGGTTGGAACTAAACTGTGCAGGGCTTCGGCCTTACAGGAATTGAGTTTGACACCCCTGATTTAAATGAAGTGCACACTTTCGGTTTCATTTTGACTGCTAAGTGCTGTTCATACTTCTTCACTTGCGGCTCCCAAACGATCACTCTGTGCCACAAACTGATTATTATTTACAACTGTATTACCTGTTACTCGCAGCATGCGCAGGTTCTGTTCACTAAAGTAGACGCACGAGCGTCTTTCAAGTAGCGCTTGCACCCGCCCTCTCGGTTAGCAGCTCAAGTCACGTGTGATTTCCCGGCTGCGAATACATCATTATATGAAGACAGAAATGACATTTTGGGGATGAATTATACCTTATAAATACAGTATGTGACTATTTCAACATCATTTGGAGGGATCCATGTCGCTGAGCAACGTATGTGAAGCAATGAAAAGACTCGTACAGCCGCCTTTTCCTCTCTCCTGAACTTGAAAATATGATTGGCAAAATCGTAGAAATGCTAAATTAAGATCGTCTAGGGGGTCGAATTGAGATCGCGATCTTTTTACGATTAATTGTGCAGCTCTAATATATAATAAAAAATATATGTATTAATAAAACTTTTGCAATCTGCACTCCGTAATGTAAGTACAAAGACTGCAATCTGGTGGTGCAAAGAGAAAACTTATTGATATGAACGTTTTGGATCGCTTTAGTACAATTTGTGTATGATAATAGACGTGCACAATATGTGACTTTTTTTTAAAGCAATAATGCATTTATGCAGTCATAAACATGTTTTGACAGTTAATGTGCCAGTGATTTGATGTTTCACAAAAGTTGCAGACGCCTTTACCAATATCTAAATGCTTTTGTAAACATCGAGTTATTCTTTACACCGATTAAAAAAAAGGGCTACTATAATACTACTATGGGTAATATAATAAGGAAAATTCTCTCTAACTGTAAAACTAAATAAATTGCTTTTGACACATGAAAGGGCAAAGCATGCAGCCTTCAACAAGGTGTAAAGTTGGTGCGTATCATATTTAACAAACCGTTTAGCGCAATTTTGTGTCATTTTGCTCACATGGATAATTGAATATTAATCAGATGATGTCATTACACTGCTGTGCCGTCAGCCAATCGTTGCATTGCTGATCATAATTTTGAGGATCGATAGATCAGTCCTTCACAACACAAGCAGTGATCTCAGATCAGTTTATCCAGACATTTTAATCTGATTGACGAACTTGTTTGAAGAACCAAATTAGCGAGAGATCAGTTATCAAGATTAAAAGATCCAGGATCTGCCAAATCATCTTAGATCATTTAAGCGAGGTAAGAAGATCGGACCCCTGGTATCAGAGGGATCTGCACATCACTACTACTAATTATTTATCAGCTTTTTGTCTATTGACTACATCCTTTGTGTGTGTATGTATGTGCATTTGGACATTATCGTGATTTTTTATTTTTTTATTTTTTTTGTAGTAATTGCATTTAGATAATGGTTTACGAGTTATGATTGGGTCAGTTGTTCCAGTGTGCTTGAATATTATTCCATAGTCACATAAAGTAATTATTTTAATCAGCACTGTAGAGCTCTAAGGGTGTCTCACAATATCACATTTGCAATCACTTGACTTCATACTGTGTCAATCTGTGCAGCCGCATCTATGAGATCCTCCCGCAACGCATCCAACAGTGGCAGCAAAGCCCTTGCATTGCTGAGGAGCAGGGTAAAAAACAGCTGGAGCGCATCCGCCGAGAGCAGCAGGCCGCACGTATGCGCCTGGCAGAGATGGAGCGCCGTTTCCACGAGCTGGAGGGCATCATTGCCAAAGCCAAGCAGCAGCTGGTCCTTCAGGATGAGGACGTGAGTTTACATCTGATGTCATTAGAATTTCATAGGATAACTGGAACTGGCGTTTCAGAAGGATTGTTATATCTGTAGTGTAAATTATCGGCTTTTCTTGCAGGTGAATGAAACAGACAGTGAGGACACAGACCTTCAGATCTTCTGTGTGTCCTGTAGTCACCCCGTCAACCCCAAGGTGGCACTCAGGCATATGGAGAGATGTTATGCCAAGGTGAACATAAGGTTTACAAGCCCAGAAATCAGTGATGTATGAACACATTCAATATTTAACAGTTTTTTTTTTTTTTGTGTGTGTGTGTTTTTTTTACAGTATGAAAGCCAGACGTCTTTCGGTTCCATTTTCCCAACTAGAATAGAAGGGTAAGAAAGCTATATTCTATATACTTCTTTTTTTTTTTAATGTCCTGGAAAAACTATGGATGCACCGAAATTAAGACTTTAGGCCATAACTAACACCAAACATTCAGGATTAAAAATTCATTACTGACAATATAACCACAACATTTGTTTTTTTAAGAAAACCTTGAATGTTGTTATTTGATATGTTGTTTAAACAGAATATAAGTTCATAAATCAGTGACTTACTCTTATATGTAGGTTCAAATATTGTGTTTTCAAAGTGTTTTAATATCAGTAATTATACTAGAGTGTCACTCACACACAGTGCTTCAATGTTTAAAAGCATTCTGAATACGTAGGCTGAATGTATTTGACTATATGTATCTAAATAGCAATCCATTAAGATAGATTAGCCCCCTTTTCTCCTCTCCAGCACTCAGATTCTAGAATAGTAATTAATTTTTTTGTGCCTCCTAGATTAACCCATTATTTTTCTAAAAAAAAAAAAAAACTTTGAAGCCGTTTTGAATAATTACACTGTATTTTCTTTATTAACTGACATTTGTCTTTGCCTACTGAATCTTAGATTTGCTTTTTGAAACATCTATTTCCAGTATTTCTTTCATATTTCAGTTATTAGTTTTTGTGTGTCTGTCCTTTCATTCTTGTAACGTTGATTCAAAATTGATATAACAGTCTTTGAAGCACTGATAGAAAGAGCATGTAACTTGCCTTTACTTTTACGAGAAAACTCAAGAACGCATTGAGGCATTTCAGTGTATCTTCTCTCATTAATTTGTACAAAAATATTGAGGATACACCAATAGTAGAGATATAATTTGTCAACTCTTTTTGCGATATTTCAGTACATCTCTGACCTTTTTAAAACAATAACATGATGAATACACAGTAGGTAAAATTCTCTTTTATAAGGTTTGAGTTTAGAATGTTGAGCTGAAGCACAAAATGGTGTAAAATTCCAACTCTGTTAGTGGTTTAAAAAATCAACAACAGTTAGTGATGTAGGGAACACTTGACTATTACATTTAAGCATTTTGGCTTATTTACATTAATGTTAAATGTAAATTGTACAGTTGTTGTGCACATGCATATTTATATATTTCTTTATTTGATTTTTTAAATTTTTATTATTTTATTTTGTATTTCTCTCTCTTCTTATCAGGGCAACAAGACTTTTCTGTGACGTGTACAACCCTCAGAGTAAAACATACTGCAAGAGACTGCAAGTTTTATGTCCAGAACATTCCAGAGACCCAAAGGTGAGAGCTTTGCAACCTTTTTTATATCTTTTAAAGTTAAAATAACCTATTTTGAACATCTCTTCATAGCATTATATTTGTTCAGTAAATTTTTTTTTTTTTCTGCTTCTCAGGTCACATCAGATGAGGTGTGTGGATGTCCACTAGTCCGTAACGTGTTTGATCCAACTGGAGATTACTGCAGGGTCTCCAAACGCAAGTGCAACAAGCACTACTGCTGGGAGAAGCTCAGGCGGGCCGAGGTGGACCTGGAGCGTGTCAGAGTGGTCAGTCACTTTAATCTCCGTGGGAGTTTTAAGCACATGGTCAACACACTGCTTACAAATTCATCTTGTTTATGGGGTGCATTGTACCTTTCAATATTTATTCTCAAAACATTTCATTAATTTTCAGGTAGTTTGCCTTAATTCTACACCACCGTTCTTTAAATAATTTTATGAAGATCCTCCCTTAGAAATACGCAATGGGGTCTGATTGGTCAGTGTGTTAGATTTCACTGTTTGCCTACTGGAAATTGAGGGAAATGTCACATCTGGGCATGGGGTTTATATAAATTTGAGTGTTGGGGATGTCGCAAACCCAGGAAAAACTCATTCATAGTCACTACCAGATAAAAAAAATGTCTCATTGCATTGAACTTTAAGTGTTTTCACAGCTTTCCAGATGTCCTCAATTATTAAACTTTAACCTAACACACTAACACTAAGCTAAAAAGTAAAATCATCATTAAAGTTACTGAAATTATCCATTTGATTTGTTTTTCCTCTGTCTTTCTGAACAGTGGTATAAACTGGACGAGTTGTTTGAACAGGAACGCAATGTGAGGACGGCCATGACCAACAGAGCGGGACTGCTGGCCCTCATGCTCCACCAGACCATCCAGCATGACCCGCTGACCACCGACCTCCGCAGCAGCAAAGACAGATAGCCATCTCAGTAATCAGTATTCGAAAAATACAGTAACTTGAAAAAACCCTGCTGTTCATATTTGTATATTTTTCATATTGTATATTTTGTCACTTTGACCATTCACATTAAACACCTTCATGTGTCTCCCGTAGTCTACAGGAGTCATTTCACATGTGTCACAGTGATTAATTATAAGTACTATTTTTATTTTATGATCCAGATACCATTTATGCATTAAATTATGCACAAATCATATGTGCAAACAAACAATACACAGAAGAATTAGTGAGAATCCATGAATTAGGAATAGTTTAAAGTCCTTATACATGAAAGTGTACATTTTTCTAAAATAGATGGAGAAATTTAGTCGTAGGACAATGCATTTAAGTCATGTTAATTCATATTTAATTGATTATTTTTATGCATATTTTGGGTGAAACAAGGGTGAACATGGTACACATTTACAAAGGCTTTTTATTATGTATAGGTATTTGAAGCAGTGCTTATTTCAGTTAGATTCAAATAAAATTAAATACATTTTGTTATCAAATTATATTTAAAAAAATGCTAAATTTGACATATTTGTCATGTAGTAGTACTGCACAGAATAGTAGATAAGGTAAAATTGCCGTGTGTGTGTGTGATTTTTATTTTGTTTCTTGAACTGATAATAATATAAATTGAATATAGCCATGGGGTCAATTGCAGCCTTTAAAAAAAGCTCAATAGTTGGAATAAAAAACATTTACATACAAGTTAAATATTACAAGTCAAACACACAAAATTACTGATAAGAAAATGCCATTTGAGTAATGTTCAAACATACATATAAGGAAAAGCAGAGAGATTTTTACCCCTTAAAATCTTCATTTTTTAGGGAAGAAACAAACTAAACTAAGCTTATATATAAAGATTCCTTAAATATTATACAGAGATGTTTAAAGAAAATTTATTATGTAAGATTAAGAAATTTCCAGCCAGAAGTTTAATTTTCAGTATTTTATTTTTTAAAAAATTATGTTTTTGGACAAATGATAGGTACATTGAAAAGCAGTTGTGCTGTGTTGCCTCTGTTTGTTTCCAAAAAGAACACGAGCTTCCTATGATCAAATATTTAGAAATATTAGGATTTACCAAACAATATTTATATACCATTAAAAATGTATTTCTTTTTTTTTTAAATGTTTGATTTATTAATTGTAAAACACATTACAAAAAAATACAAAAAGACAACCTGAACATGTAACAATAAGCAAATACACTGAAGAGTCTTTTGAGCAAAAAAGAAATTAAAAATAATATTAATAATAAAAACAAACACTAGTGCAATCTTACATACAAAAAATACAGGTCTACGTGCTAACCAGAACTAGTATCCACTACCTAGCTGGGAGTGGGGAATTTAAAATGTATTTCTGATGCAAAGATTTCTGTGTGGAGTTTGCATGTTCTGCTTTTGTTTGCATGGGTTTTCCAAGGTGGTCCGGTTACTCCAACATTCCTAAGACATGCGGTTTAAGTGAATTAAATAAACTAAATTGGCCGTAGGTTGCGGCTGGAAGGGCATCACTGTGTAAAACATATGCTAGATAAGTTGATGGTTCATTCCGCTGTGGCAAGCGCTGATAAATAAAGGGACTAAACCGAAAGAAAATGAATGAATGAATGCACAATGATGAATCAATAATTGCAATAACAGATTACCTGTAATAATTCACATTATGTGTTTTGGTTTGTGGTTTGTTTTGCTATAATGTATCATTTATTCACTCGTTTTCTTTTCGGCTTAGTCCCTTTATTAATCCGGGGTCGCCACAGCGGAGTGAATTGCCAACTTATCCAGCACGTTTTTACGCAGCAGATGCCCTTCTAGCCTCAACCCATCTCTGGGAAACAAACATCCATATACACTCATACACTATGGACAATTTAGCCTACCCAATTCACCTGTACCGCATGTCTTTGGACTGTGGGGGAAACCGGATCACCCGGAGGAAACCCACGCGAATGCAGGGAGAACATGCAAACTCCACACAAAAACGCCAACTGACCCAGCCGAGGCTCGAACCAGCGACCTTCTTGCTGTAAGGCGACAGCACTATGTACTGGACTTTTTAGTAAAAATATAAAGCAATTAATAACAGGGAATGAAAATCATGCCTAAGTCATATACAAAATAGAACAACATGATATTTTAAAGAGGTATATTGTAAATAATTCTCTCTGTAATATTCTAGAATGCTGACAGGCAAGCAAAATCTGTGTTGTAGCAAAAAGAAAAAAAAAAGCCTGTAACTCATGACCCCGATTAATCTCGGAGGTGGGTATAATGTAAATATACAAGTTTCACACACAACAATAGACCTATAAAGATGCATAAAAAAGTGCAACAGTCTAATAATCTTTTTTTTGTCATTTATTAATTTGTTTAATTTAATATCAACTTCACCTAATGAGACTGGTGGGCACAATGTTTCCTGTACGAGACTATTCTGGGTTTAATTTTGGTATTTTAATTTAGTATTTTTTTAATGCATTGGAGTGCCATAAAAATGCCCTTTTAATTGAGCGCCATCTAGCGGTCACATAATCTAATGACTAAATATTATGACAACTTGTTCAACTTCTTTTATAAATATAAATAACTTGATATTACTTTTTTTCCTCACCACCACACTGGTCTTTTTCACAAGACAAAATTTTGTTGTTGGAAACTGTATTTTATTTACTTAAATTTGACTTTTGCATGCTAAAAGTACTTGAGTAAGAGACGTTTTACTTGATTTGGGTCATTAAAAAACTCCCTATGATGTATGTAGCCTATACCTGCTGTAGTCAACCTAAATCCTACTGTAGGTTGACATAAAACCAAAACAACACCCATTCTTGTATTAGGACATTTTATTAAGCAAATTTTAAAATAACAGTAAGTTCATGACATGTTAAATATATAGTATAATTTGCTGGTTTTAAACATACAGAACAATAATAAATATAGTTATGAAACAACCATAACATAACCCTTATGTCTTAGGACATCTTTGATTAACTTTTTTATACCTACACCAAATGTTGACAAATGAAGGTACATTTATGACAACCATTTATTTGTTAGACTACTGTATTGTCAAACCATGTTGCATACAAATGCATTCAACAGACTTACATGACAGTGCATTGCTGTAGAGGACAAATAAAACACAAGACGGGTGTTTAGAAATAGTATTGTTTATTTAGTTTGACATGCAAACAAGACAAACTTTCAGAAAACAACCTGGACACATTATAACGCGCGGTTGTCTTCAACTGTTGTCTTTAATAGTCCTTCTTTGCTCAACAGCTCAGCTGAAAAACAAAGCAAAACATTACAACAGTCAGACAAAGAGCAAAGAGCGTAGAATCACCAAGAGACGACACTCTACAATTTGGGAAACAATAACGCGCTTTTTGAATAAATTAAATAAAAACAAAGCAGCTGCTTTCCATCGCGACAGCAATCAGATCCAATGGACGCCCGATCGCCTTCACTTCAAAATCCGGGGCTGTTGCTCTTGGTCATTCTAAGCTCTTTGCATAAAGTTAAATCATAACAGTTACCATGGTGTCTATTTCAAACTATAGTAAACTAAAGTTTAAAACTATAGTTTAAAATAGACGATGAGTGGGCCTCGCTACTCCCACCCACCATAACCCTCGCAGCGAGGTCCCACTACCGGCCCCCCGTGTTTCCCTGAGGGTCCTCGGGGGTTGTTTGTTCCCTGCCTAGGGCTCAAAGGCCGCCTCGCCCCAGGGAGTGCACGAGAAAACCGGGCGCCAGGCCGTGCCAGTATTCACTGGATGTTGCTCGGCGGCACATTTCGAGCAACAAACACGTAATATTCCTTGCGATGTTACGTTTATGTACGTAAACCACAAGGAACTACAGCACAGACGGGCCCGAGTGAAGCTTCACGAAGGGGACTTCGTGAGATTGGCGTGGCTCCACTCGTACCGTCGGTATAGAACTCACCTTGGTCAAGTACAAACAGCAACACCGAGCGAACTGACAACGCTGATAGAGAGCACACAAGCTTTATAGGAATGCAGATGCAAATTTTTACAAGGCACGTCACTGCTGTCTCGTTGTCATGGGGAGCGCTGAAGAGGGCTCACCTGATTGGAGCACACAGACGCGGGAATCTGCGTCACGGCGAGTTGACGTCTGCCGTACACAAAAATATATTAAATATATTCAATATATATATTTTTACATTTTTGGTGCTGTGTAATATTCTGGGATGCAGTAGAATATGGAGACGGATGAATATAATTGGGTATATGCCGAGCTAGTGTTGTTCCCATATAGGTTACTTATAAACTTCCGGTGACCGGTTATTGTGAGTTTTTTCCATTTTATACGGTTCCTTTTACAGCATTCATGTTGTAATGTAATTAAAATACATTCCGTTAAATAAACTTTGCCACTCGTTTAGTTGTTCAAGCGTAAAACGAGACAAAAGGCCTTTTACTCGCACTCGCCCGTCAGAATCGGCAGGATAGCACAGGCGCTCCATTGAATATACTGGGGGGTAAAATAAATGCTCATATTATAAAGACATGGCGGGGAAAAATGTAATTTAATGCAGTGCTTCTAGTACAATCTGAGACCAACTTCATATCGGATATCACTCAGCCAGTGGAGATCGCTAATTTTTAAAGAAAACAGACCTTAAAAACGTGCAGGTTTTTCCTTTGGCATACAGTTCGCCGGAAGCGCCTAACCCAGGTTACTGGCAAATTAAAAGTCCTTTTAGCATGCTTCAGCATATACCCTAAAATCCCAGAATGTCTTTCGAAAAAGAGTACGGGTTTAACACCGGCATCCTGGCCAAATTTACCCACTGGCCTTTGTCCATCATGGCCTACTAACCCTAACCCAAATCATAATTGGTTTCATTACTCTTTCTTCTCTCTCTGTGGTGTGCGGTCTGGTGAAAAATGGCTGCTGTCACTTCATCCAGGTGGATGCTACACTGGTGGTAGATGAGGAGATTGCTACCCAATAAATACCAAACTAGCTAAATTCAATAACAATATTTCCCCTAAATGCTCATTTTGTACTCAATATGATGAAACTCTAAACCATTTATTTTGGGAGTGTACTTACTGTAAAGTGTTTTGGGTTGACTTTTCCAATTTCATTAAAAAATTCTTATTTCCAAACTTCTGTATTTCCCCCAAAATTGTATTCTTTGGTTACTCTCTGAGTGTAGATCCTTCTCATTTTAAGTTTATTATTAATTTATTGGTTTTTTTTTAAACAAAATTTTACATCCATAAATGTTAATTTTCAAAGAAACACCCTTAATTTTTTATTTTTAGAAAGGACTTTGAAATTTATGTGAACTCTTTAAAGGACTCTAACAATTACACTGCATGTAAAACGCTTTCTTAGTGTAAATCATTTAAACTTGTTTTATTTGCTGGAATTCTATTTATGTAACCCTCTTTGTCTCTTTGCTCATATTATATCTTTGTAATGTTCTTTCTTGCATTAAAAAAAGAAGAAAAAGTAGATGAGAAGATTCCCCCTTTGTGTAAAGCACTTTGAGTGCCATGAAATGCGCTATAGAAATGTAAGGAATTATTATTGTTATTATAAAGCACTGTTCATTATGATATAGCCATTCAATTGTCATATATTTTAAAATATTTAAATGTGTGTTCTGAAGGTTGGAACAACAGGGGTGTTAATAATTAATGACAGAAAGAATTTTCAGTTTGAGTGAACAATCCTTTATAAAAACTCTTTCTGAGGGGGCAATGCCCCCCTTTGCCCCCCGTAGTGCCGGGCCTGCTTGGAGATCATCCTCCATGTTTAGTTATGTCTGTATTTATTTATTTATAATGCACTGGAGTGCCATAAAGGTGTCAGAAAGTTTCACTTGGTGCCATAAAATGAATCTGCTGCAGCTGATCAATTTCATTGTTAAATAAAATTTTGTTGACTTCTGGAAAACAGCAGACTAAACTTGTCCTGACCCACTTTGGGAACAACTAATCTAAATAAACAGATGATTATCGTTCGTATGTGTGTGTGTATACCAATAACTGTAAAAGTTGGAAACAAATATATGTATCGATATATTTATATTTGTTTTATATTTGTTATATATATATATATATATATATATATATATATATATATATATATATATATATATATATATATATATATATATATTTACATATAATATATAAAACATAATATATAATATTTAATATTTAAAACATTTTAAAGAGTTCATGGATTATACAAAACAGGAAAAGAATAACTGAATAATATTAGAAATAGGTGGCTTAACCTAGTGATATGAATGATAAAAAGAACATTACATGTTATAAAGGATAATTATAAATAATAGAGATTAATAATACATTAATATAGAAAATATAAATACATTAGACATTTTCTTAACGTTACACCAATTTCCTTTGATTTGTTAGAAATGTCCTCGGTAAAAGCCAAAAACAACAACTCAATAACAGTATACAAAAAATATAATAAATATGCATAATCTTCATATGGGATGAAACAGAAAAGAAGACCATTTAATCAGATCATTTTATAAGAAGACACAAAATGAATCAGCTTTGTGTGCCACGAGACGTGAGCTTTAATTATTCGGAACGAGTCACGGGTTTCCGGGTTACAGCAGCACTTCCGGCTTCTCTTCAGTGTCAGTTATTTAAAATTTACCAATGTGTGGCTCGTTAAGGTGTTAACAGGTAGGTTTTTAAAAATGTCGCCGTCGTATTAATGACTTTTCATGTAACCGAATCACAAAACTCCGCAAATAGTGCAAGAAAACCTCACTATACAGTGTCTTTTGCAATAATTTCACGCTTGCTAGCACATTAGCCACCATGCTAACTATTTGCGCTGATACTTGCTCGGCTGTGTCTCAAAACCTAGCGTGTTGGCTACCTAGAACGCACCAAGAGTCGGGGTTTAGTAAACAAAACATTTGTTTTTTTCTTCCGTAAAGCAACAATAGGCCTTTGAATGCAGATGCGGGTGCCTGTATCGAATGTATAACACACAGCAAAAAGAGTATGCAGATAACTTGACGTTAAAAGATGTAAGAGCTTCACTTTGACTCCTCTGACTTTTATTATGCTGCTGAAAACATTGTGTTTTAATGTATGTTTTTCTATTGTAGTTCAAATAGGAAAAATAAGGTGGCTATACAACCATGGACACAGAGGAAGTAGCAGCTGAAGCACCTGCAGAAACAGCAACCGAGGAAAAAGATGCAACTTCAGAGGAAAACAAAGAGTCCACGACAAGCACAGACATCCAGGATCATGTCACGGACAAAAACCAAGAGGAAGATGCAGCTGCAAAGGAAGACGAAGAAGCTGTTATTGACAAGGAAGCTGAAGAAGCTGTAATTCAGAAAAAAGATGAAGAAGCAGTAGTTCAGAAGGAAGGTGAAGAAGCTATAATTCAGAAGGAAGGTGAAGAAACTATAGCCGAGAAAGAAGGTGAAGAAACTGTAACCGAGAAAGAAGGTGAAGATGCTGTAACAGAGAAAGAAGGTGAAGAAGCTGAAACCGAAAAAGAAGGTGAAGATGCTGTAACCGAAAAAGATGGTGAAGATGCTGTAACCGAAAAAGAAGGTAAAGATGCTGTAACCGAGAAAGAAGGTGAAGATGCTGTAACCGAAAAAGAAGGTAAAGATGCTGTAACCGAGAAAGAAGGTGAAGATGCTGTAACCGAGAAAGAAGGTGAAGAAGCTGAAACTGAGAATAAAGGTGAAGAAGCAGTACTCGAGAAGCAAGATGAATCTTCTAAAGATGTTGACAATCCTTCTTGTGACTGGTTGGAGCCACTTGAAGAAGATTGTGAAGATGTTGATTCTCAGAGCGTCGATGGAGAAGTTGAGAGCGTTGCGGGGAGCGAGTTTAGTGGGAGTGTAGTTCTGAAAAGCACTGGAGACAGAGGTGGAAGAGGTGCTGGGTATGTACTGACATCATGTCAAACATAATAAAATAAAAATCATTTAAATTTTAGCACAGAGTTTCTGCAGGATTTTGAAGTCTAAAATTATAAATAAAAAAATTATTCACTGAACTGCCATATGTTCTAGCTAGTGATAAATCATTTCCTGGGTTTTCGCAGGGTCTTAAAATGTCTAATCACGACACTACATTTTAGACCTTGAAAAGTCTAAAATCTACTGAAATATTGTGTTGTAGGACTGTAAATCATTTTTCAACAGGTCTTAATTTCACTTTGTTCATGTATGGCTATCTGGTCAACACCTATACAATCACCAACAATCCATCTCAATAAAACTTTCAACTTCTTATTTAAGAAAATAATACAATTTAACGTTTATTTACCGTAATGGTGTATTTTTCTTAAAATAACATTTGTTTAAAAGTTCTCCATGTATTTACTGCTAAGGATACTGACCTATGTTTGCAGTTATTAAATTATTATTATTGTATTATTAAATGTATTAATTTATAATCATTTTTATAGTGCAAGTAAACATCTTTTCCACTTCCTTAGCATTTAGCTCTGTATAAGTCTAAAATTTCATTCATAGTGGTCTAAAAAGTGTCTTAAAGTCTTAAATGTAACCTGGTGAAACCTGCAGAAACTCTGATTTCAAACTGGTGCTTATTTTCTAGAGGTGCGAACCTGCACTAGTCTCACAGTTTGGTTCGGTTACGATTATCATGCCATCAATTCGGTTCAATTCGATATTTCGGTGCATCACGGTGCATTGACGGTGCTTTCCATACACAGTTTTATATTTTCTTCACAGCAGCATTTCTTGTATTAAAATGTATGAATATATTTATATACTATTTGTATTACAATTTTGTCATTTAATACAAACAGTCAGATATATAAACTGTAACTTTAAACAAAATGAGCATTTAGCAAATAATATAAACAAATATAAATATCCAGCTCAATTTCTGATCCTTCTCTAGTTCTCTTACACCCCTTTGATTGGTCACACCCTCAACAAAAAAAAAAAAAAAAAAACGGTTGCGATTGGCTTTTGTGCGCTGCACTCTTCACAGATGAGTGATGCTGATAAGCGGCAGGCGGCAGCGGCGATCTCACAGCTGATGTTAGACACGGTGGAGAAAACTCAGCAGACACGCGCTCGTTTCTGGATGCAAAAGTAACGCTGTAAAACAGCCGAGAAGAGAAGAAAAACCACGCCAGCAGGTCAAATGGGCCACTGTGTGTGTGAGAGAAAGAGAGAGAGAGAGAGAGAGAGACAGAGAGAGAGACAGACAGACACAGAGACAGACAGACAGAGACAGACAGACGGAGAGAGAGACAGACGGAGAGAGAGAGAGAGAAATGGAGTAGGCTACTTTAATTCTCTCGATCTCAGTGACATAGGGGCTATTGTTGTATATGTCAGTGAAAGACTGATCCAGCAAACACACACAGTAAAGTTGTGGAAAGTTTATGAGTTTTAAGTAGTTAAAGCGCTGTAAATACTTGCGATCGCCTCCCTCGCGACAGAGCGCATATGAGGTAAATGACGTCAGTAATAACCGGTTATGATTATTACTGATCCGATACCGAATTGTCCGCGTCTGCATCGCAGTGCACCGAAAAAACGATTATTTTTGACACCCCTATTATTTTCCCATGTCTGTACAATAATAATAGAGAATTTAATCTAGCATTAATTTAGGGTCCAAATCTTAAATTTCAAATCTTAAATTTAGGCATGTTCCAATACCCCTTTTCCCTTTTTGATTCCGATACCTGAGCTTAGGGTATTGGTGATACAGAGTTGTGTATATTTCTAGCCCTGTATAAGTTGACAGAATTAACTTACAATGTGCTTCAGACTTATCCATTAATGTAACATGAACAAATACATACAGTGGGTGAATGTTGACAGTAGAAATAAGTATTTTTATTATCAGGCGTTAAACAGTATTATTATTTACTTTACTGAAACAGGTTCAGCCACAAATCAAACACCATAAACTGAAAAAAAAAAAGAAATCTATTCTAGTTTTACACTATAACTGTTTAAAAATCAGAGATAAAAAGTATTATAAAAACATGAGTATTAATTATATATAGAAAATAACCTCTTTGAAACAAAAAAATCAGAAACATTTCTATTTTAAATATACTAGTGTGTTAATCTCTTCTTCGCTGCTCTGAAAGTGGTTGTTGTGGCAACAAAGCACAAAACCATGTGTTTTACTTAAAAAATTGATTTAAGTGCCAGAAATTTGTATGATCAAAATACAACCACAGGCATGTCAAAAGTGACCCTGAGAATCACTACTTTAGATTTGCTTTTTAGATTTTATTTTACTTTTTATTTGTGTTTTTTTTATTCTATGGTATATTTTATCTTGCTAGTTCAAAAAAAGTGAGGGCAACATGGTTGAGAATGTAACATTTTATACATTTTCATTGATAATTTATTTAAATTCAACTAGAGGAAACTCTTACTGCGTGACTACAGATGTTTGTTTTTCTTTTAGGAGAGCTAGAAGGAAAACACAGTTCGAGGCTGATGAAGGCTGGGAAGATTGGCCGGCATTGGGTAAAGGATGGAAACGCAAGGAGGTTTTTCGCCGATCGGGCACCAGTGAAGGACGCAGTGATACATATTATATAAGGTATGTTTACATTGGCTAAAATGAATTTTGACATTCATTTTGCATAATGGGCCTTTTATTTAGCATCAAAAAAAATTATTTTACTTTTGTTTTCAGTCCAAGAGGTCGTAAAGTAAGAAGCAGAGTTGAGCTTACAAAACACATTGGCCATTCTGTGGACCTGACAAATTTTGATTTTAAATCAGGCCAGTTTCTTGGAGAAGGGGCTCGAAGAAAACCTAGAGTGGTATGTACAGCATGCACACTATTTATTTATTTATTTATTTATTTATTTATTTATTTATCTGGCTAGTCATGTATATGCAATACTAAGGCCCTATCTAATTTATTTTTACATATTCAGCTTGTCTTTTAGAATTATTTTTGTTTAAAGATTAAGTTAAATTTGTTTTACACACACACACACACACACACACACACACACACACACACACACTTGTTTGTACAGTGTGTGTGTGTGTGCGTGAGTGAATGAATGTATGTATGTACTAGGGCTGCACATTAAATTGTTTCAGCGTCACATCGCAGACATCTGCAATGTGGAGTTGGGATTATCATAGTTGATCAGCAATGAAGAATGCACAGTGAGTGTTATTTTATATTACGTTTGATTATTCAATAATAGGGCCAGGATAAAATGTCGATGCTGGTTTATTGTGATAATTCCACCCGCGCAGTGCATTATTGCTGTAGCCGAGTATCAATATTTATTTAAAGGTACAAAATATCTGAACTAATTCATCAGCCTTGCACTACTACCATTTAGCACGTGGTTCTTGTAGTGTCAGATCGAACACACAACAATGTAGCAATTCTGAGAAATATATGTGCTGTTAATAAAATACATCAACAAATATCATGATATATTTTGATTTGTTTTCATTTAATATATCACTAATATTGTGATCTGTCATAATCGGGGGCAAAATATAATGATAATACTGTAACGTATTACTGTACCTGAATATCTGGCTACTTAATTTCACTTTTATCTTTGCTCAATCTTATTTATTTACACTTGCATTTTTTGTTCACTCCTCTACATGAGTATTCCAATCAAAGTTAATTTAATTAAAAAAAAGAGCTATTAGACCCATCTTTGAAATTGTAATAATATTGCAAAACCACTTAAAATATCGCAATGTCAGATTTTTCCAGTATCGTGCAGCCCTAGTATGTACTGTGTGTGTATTATATACTACACATATCAAGAAAATGCACTACTTTATAAAAATGCTTTGTTTTTACAATAAATTTTAAGATTTTCATGACACCAGAAGTATATCCTTAAACACAGTATAAAAGTTTTTATCCCATAAAATTCATAAAGTTAAACCCAGCGTATATCTAACAGCAGTCACAGTGCATTTTAAATGATACAAATCTGCTCTTTGGGATTTTTCCCCTAAAAACATAAAAACTAATGATGCAAGCTTCATCAAATGAGACCAATTCAAGTTCTGCTGCTCAGTTTCCCACTGATATCTGCTATCTGCCTTTCACAGAGAAGGAAAATGGAATCTCCTCTAGCACAACCTGAAACCTCCCTTACACTCAGTGTTCGAAGCGATTCGGCAGATGTCCAGCGACCAGCGTCTTCAGCAGGTTTCGCTACTGCTCAAAAAAAGAGCTTGCATTCAACTCAGAATCCTCCATATGCCACCACTGCATCGAACCTCAGTACCTTTGTGAGTCCTGGGACAAATAAGTCTTCATTAAGTGCCACTACTCAGCCTGTTGTTGATCTGACAGAAGATGCTGCAAATCCAACTCCTCCTGTAGTGTCTGTAGCCTCAGAGAAACCTGTCAATGGTGCCAGTGGAGGTCCTAGACGTTTGTTTGGGTAAGCAGTGCCTTTTTAGATTTGTACATTAAAGTAAAAATGTTAGGAACAGTGATGGGAAAGTCTGTCTTCACTTTTTTGTACTTTAGAGTCTGCATTAGATGTAATAAAACCTATTCTTATGAAGAAGGACAAACTTTGTGCAAGGACTGCAGGATAGAGAATAGAGCATGTAAGTCAAATGCTATTCATTTAGTTTTGTGAGTGCTGGTTAATAATAAGCTTTATCATAATTTGTGTCATTTTAAATGCATAGTTATTATATTCCTCTTTGTTTTCTTTGTTTTTTGCTTTAGTGGCAAGCAGAAAACCATACAAAAAGGTGACAGTCTTTTTACTTTATGGAATGTTTTGTGTAACCTATTAAGAAATGTATATTTATTTATTGTATTTATTTATGGATTTATTGTTCTTAGTGGGTTCCATGTGGTCGATGCTGGGCTTGTCAAACAACAGTGGACTGTGGGAAATGCGTTAGCTGCAGAAATGGCCGGCTGCGCCATCGACTTAATATCCACTCTCGTAAAGTTGTTAAATGTCGCAAACGGAAATGTTTACACCCTGTTCGTAGGGAGAGGGGTTTTAAGGTACAGTGCTATATATTAGCTTTTTAAAAAGTTTTTATCAGTATGATGTTTTTATTAATCTTTTCAGCTTAAAAGGGGATATATTTTCCACTGACAATCATTTAGCTTTCAACAAAACACAATGAAAAAACTTCAATAACGTAAATAATAATAACAGTAGAGATAAAACAATAATGTAAACTATAATAATAACAAAATTGACAAATCAGGAAGGGTCAAATATACACCCAATAGTCAAACTCTTTATTGAATAAAATTAAGTTTTTGTTCTTAATCTAAGGAGGAGACTGTGAGAGAAAGCTTGCTGGTTATTAAATCAGAAAATGCCTACCTTGCAGATTTAAACTTGATGGCAATTAATTTATGCTTCTACGAAACCTGGACCTTACAAATTTGGTCCAGATATTTCTGAATACATTCATTTGAAGGCGAAGGGAAAATGCAATATTTTCTATAGCGTAAAGATCGCATACTATTTCCAACCACTCTTGAATTGTTGGGGTTTCAGGAAGTAACCAGTGCCTTGTGTTTGCTTTTTTGGCCGCAATTATAAATATGCCAAGTAGAATTTTATAAAGGCCTTCTTGTCTGGATGTCAATTCCTAAAAAAAAAAAGCTGATCAATATGATTCTGAAAGGGTCGGTATGATTTTTATTATCTTCAAAATGTATACTTTGTATACTCATTGTTTTAAAGCTTTATATTCACTAATACTGTAAAATAAAATATAATGCAATACTTTATCATTTTAAAAAAATTCAAATTTTGTTTTATTAACATCTATTATTCCCGTTATGACAACTGAATATTCAGCATCAACACTTTAAATGCTCTTTCAGAAATCATTCTAATGTGCTGATTTTGTGTGTAAGAAATATTTAAATTTTAATGTTAAGATCATTTGTGGTATTTTTCATGCTTTTTTAGCATTGTTATGAAAGAAGACTCAAAAAGAGCTTTGTAAAACTTTCTTTCACTTTGAATCAATGCAATGCATCTTTCTTAAAAGCACATATATGTTTAACCCATTTTTGTCTAATCCACAGGATTCAGAGGGGCAGTTTTCAAACATGGAATCTTCAATGAGCACAGAAGTAAGAGAAATAAAGCTTCTTCTTTTTTCTTCACCTTTTACAATTTTTTCCTTTCACAAAGCACACTCCTACTACATTATACTTGTAAAGAAGTCACTGGTATTATTTTTTTTGAGGGTCACACTTGTGTTTTGTGGTAAAAATTGCCTGGAGACCTTAATCAGATGTTAATTTTATATTTAACAAGTGAATGTACAATACATTTTTTCAATAATGTGTATTTTTTTCTGTAGTATTTTATGGGGTCCCATGTGCTAGAAAATAACATTCAAGTTAAAAAACAATTAATTTCTACATTCGTTCTTTCATTAACTGCCTCTTATCTGGGGTCAGGTCACGGGGGCAGCAATGTTAGGTCATGTGAGAAAATTACGACACGTCACGTTTTGGTGATTCCACAGTTTTCCATATCATGGCATAATAAAATAGGTCTTCAGAAAAACAACCTCACATGACAAATCACTCCATGTCATCATTTATATAACCAAAATAAGTCAAGATGGAAAACCATGAGTGACAAATTGTGTGTTCAGTTGTTTGTAGATTCGCATTTGGCAGCAATTTCTTGGCTCTTATTCTATATATGACTTGATCAGTTGCTCATGTTGCTCTTGAGGAATTTTGGTCCACTCACATCATTGCTCTATTTTTAAAGTTTGCAGGCTTTTTTTCTATGCACATTTCTTATTTCAGCATTTCAGTCAGGATGAGCTCTGGATTATTGCAACACCTTGAATCTTTTTGTTTCAGCTGTTCTGTTAGAGGTTTGCTGGTGTGTTTGGTATTGTTGTCCTGTTGCATGACCAAATTTTAGCCAAACTTTAGCTGTCAGATGGACGGCCTTGTTGTGTATTTGGTGGTGTGTTATAAACCTTAATCATCACTTTATCCATCTCCAATTGTTAGACACCATAGCTTAAGATCATTGCTGTTGTCTTTCCTCCTAGCCATTGTGATAACACATTTGCCTGATGTTTAGCGAATCCAAAGGCATTTGTTTAGGAATGCTAGACCGCTTCTTCTCCTTTTAATTGCTGTGTTAACAGTTAGGGTGTTATAAGTTTGCCATTAAGCAACCAAAAACAAAAGTGTGCACACTTCTAAGATATTCTTAAATGCAGGTGCCTGATCAAACCACAGCGTTTGTTATAAAAAAAATCCTTTTTTTAAGAGCTAAAATAACAGTGTGCCGATTTTTCTTTTTCATTTTCTACTGTGTTATAAGTTTGTTACCCATGGTTTTTAATTTTGCCCTAATTTATATTATTAAAAAACAAAATATGTCATGTGATGTTTTTTTTTTCCACCTTCCCAAGACATTTCTGTTCAGTTAATACTTCTGTGCTAACAGTATGATTAATCCAAAAACAACAATGTAGACATTTAATCTGAAGTGGTCCCAAATATCAACAAGTGTGTTTTCTATTAAACTTGAGGAGATATTTTGAATAATGTTGCTAACCAGACAGTTAAGAGTCAGCAGTGACTTCATTAATTAAAAGGCAGCATTTCTGCCTTACTTAAGCACAACCATATCTAAGCAACATATTAAGACAGTCTGGATTGTTTGCTTTGAAGGTGACAAACATTGTAAAAAGGAAAGAGTCATGCTGCACAACAACAACAACAAGCACAGCTAGTGTTTTTCAGCCAATGATGAGCTTCTGGTGAAAGTTAAATGTGACTATTTTCAATTTCATAAAGTTCCTTTTAAAGCATCAATGTTGTGATATCATTACAATACATTTAGTTAAATAGACTTTAGCATTAATGTAGTTGTTCAAGCATAAAACGAGATGAAAGATCGTTGTAACCACTAGCACCGTCAGCATCAGCAGGCGAGCACAGAAATTCCATCAAAACTACTAGGGTAAAATAAACTGTCACATTTTGAAGACATGTCGGGGGTGTTTAATCCAGTGCTTCTTTTCTGGTCTAAGACACACTTCATATTCAACATCTGTCAGGCAGTGAAGATCATTGATTTTTAAAGAAAACAGACCTTAAACGTGGCAATTTTATAATGGGAAGACAGTTCACCAGAAGCGCTGAGGCTGGGCTGGCAGAAATTAAAAGTCTGTGTGTATATACCCCTATGCTGATATTTTGCCATTTTGGCTGGATTATTGAATTGATTTCACCAATTCTCTCAAAACTCAAAACAAAGCTCTTTCTCTTTTCTTTTATTATTATTACTTTTTTTTTTTTACTTAATGCACCATGCTGCCAACCTACACTTTCAGTACTGACCTATTTTATATGCTTAATTTGTATAAATGAATGCACATCATATATTGTTTGTGCACATGTTGTTTATTGCACAATATGTGGATTATAGTGTGGCTTATTTATGTTTTTTTTTTAAATCAGTTTGTAAACTTTTTTTTTATTTTTATTTTATATATATATATATATATATATATATATATATATTATAGAAAGTTAGTTTAAAGTATATTTTTTCTGTTTTGGAATTTCAAAAAACTTTTTTTTTTTGCCTTAAATGACTTGAGTACCACCAGAGGGGTTTATCATTCATTTGTCTCCATTTTTTTCAGCCCTCAGTCTCAGAAGATTATGACGAATCACAGGTAATGATCTCATAAATACAGTAATTGGAGCGTTTGATGTAAAACTACTCTATCTGAATCTGAATGTTGTTTTTTTGTGAGCAGAGCTCCTATTTGCAGTACAGTGACTCAGAGGATTTGTCTGTGTTCTTTGAGGGTAATGATGGTGACAATGGCCTGGATGAGGTAAAGTTCTAGCTGGACAGTTAAAGATATTGCATTATTACACTGCAGTCACATGATCCAAGAGCCTTGATCACAGTAGTAATGCTTGCTTCATAGTTGGCATAGAAAGTATTTTTATATTGTCATGCTAGAGGCTTGAGCAGCAAATTTTTAAATTGCACTCACTTAAAATGCTGTCTTCAAATAGTAAAGTTTGTTGATTTGATTTGCAGATGGGTGTACCAAAGGTGCGTCGCCGTTCATGTGGAAAGTGTAAAGGCTGTGTTCGTCGTACAGACTGTGGAACCTGTGACTTTTGCATGGACAAACCCAAGTTTGGAGGCAGAAATAAAAAAAGACAGAAATGCCGTCTACGACAATGCACGCGAGAGGCAATGGTGGGCTTTTTTTACACCATTACTTTTATTCATATGGAATAAATTGAATCCTTGTGAAACTTGGTTTAGGATTGTTTTATTTCGTTTCATTGACTAACTCTCAAGATTATCTAATATCTTTCATAAATGGTCTAAAAATAATAACTTGACAAGGTAGTGCTGAGTTTAGACTGCATGATTTTCAAAGTAGTTTTCACACTCACTTTCACACTATCTGGGGTTGTGTTTCGTCTCTGCCGTGTTTACACTGCAAGATAAGTCGGCAACAGTGGGTTTAACTTTGTCTTTATCCACAAACTATGTCTCACAACCAAACACAGGTGAGAAGTGACATGGAAGCTATGCAAATTCACATAATATATCTTTTGGTATTAACTACATAGTGAGAGAGAAGCCTTTAGTGGGTTAGAAAATATACTTATTTTGCTCACCTGGCTTTTAAAGGAATTTGTCCTGAACTTTTTCTTTTTCGACACGGTTGTGGTATTGCTCAAATGTCAAACAGACACGGGTGCTCTTGCCAAATTTTCACTAGTTTTTCCTCCATTTCTTGGGTTCAAATAGCCTGCAAATAATCACTTTTAACTTCGCCCCCAACCTCCTGTTGGCCTGCAGAGACCCATCCTAATGTATTCTGCTCTCTCATTGGCTGTAGGTAATCGCTGATGTTTTGTTCAATCAGTAAACATTTCACATGGCATGATTTTGAATCGCAGACAGCTTCAGATATTTAGCATGCCAAATATCTCATTGGTGTCTGCGAATTATCGGCAGTTCTCTTAGATTACGCCTTTAATAGTTCACACTGTGTGATTGGTACTTATGTAAACGAGCACCGATTTGCCTGTGATTTCAGGCATTTGTCTGCGATTTTCTCAAAACCTGACAATGAGTTAGTTGTGACTGAAATCATGCAGTCTGAACTCCGCATTAATCGACAAAATAGTTTTGATTGTGTCCACAAATATATGACGAGTTAATCTGACAAAAACTGAAAGTCATGTTTTTTTCTCTTTTTTTTTTGCGTATGAACTCTGCACAGTACAATGGCATTTTAAAATTTATACAAAATTTGATTTGATATCAGCTCTTTAAGGCAGTTCATTCCGCTGTGGCGACCCCGGATTAATAAAGGGACTAAGCTGAAAAAAAAAAAATGAATGAATGAGGATGAGCTCTTTAAATGAATATCTATGTGCAAATAGCTATCAATGATCCTCAACAGATATGATAGGATAAGTAATGACCATTTTGTCTCCATGTTTGTGTGAGCAGAAGCATTTGTTGCCAATGGATGAGGCAGAGCTGCTTGCTCAGGGCTGGTTGCCCCGCCGCAGGCCGCGGTACACATATGGACGAGGTACACCCGGGTCCAAGAAGATGTGGGGTTTTGAGATGTCAGATGATATGCCTGAACAGTACATGCAGAAAAATTCAGCTCACCTGATGAATCAAGACCGATTCCTGCACCCCAGTTACAATGGAAAGGTATTTCAGCAGACTCCTAAAACATCACCACTTAATCATCTTCACTTCCAATAACTTATTTCTGTTTTTATACTTACTGATGAAGGCCTACAGTTATACTGATGTGCCAAACAGTCATATGGTGAACAACATGCCACTCTATAATCCACACAAAGTTGAGGTATGTTCTCAACATAAACATGAAAAAAATCTATACGATAGCTGTAAACTATTAATCAAATCGTGATCATTTCAAAACTACTCTCAAAGCAACAGTCCATTAACAAAATAAAAAGCTAATTCCATTGTCAGAATGCATGTTCTTACTATTTGAACCGAAGCTACTGTATATAAATGTTGATTTGTCATTTTCTCTCTCTGGAGACGATGAGTCCTCATGTGCGAACGGGACAGGCGGAGATGATCAAAGAAAATGGGCTTCAGAGCATCAGTAACAGAAGCTTTGTGGCTAGGGTAAGCTCCTTATAATTTTCTGTGTTTAAATGAATAAAAACAAGAAAGAAAAAAAGATTAGTGAGTGGGAAATAAGCATAGCTCACCTGAGTGGTAAAAATATTAAAATAAGTTTGGTATTGTGCCTCCTTTCTTTTTTTCCCTTTTCTCTACATGATATTATCAGAAGGCAGACTCAAAGTGACCTCTGATGATAGTATTCATTTCTCTTTTATTTATTTATTTTTTTTTTTTGCCAGCACGTTATCTTGAAAAACCAAGGCGACTGTAACGCATAACCTTTTAGATTATTGTAAATTAACTAAACATTCTGAAAATGAATAACTTTAAAATGCATTTAATGGTAAGAAATTTATGAAGGATCATGTGAAACTGAAAACGGGTAATAATTCAGAAAATTCAGCTTTGATGTTACTGCTAAACATTTTACTTTTATATATTTACATTTTATCCTGTATCTATTTATGTGTGTACAGTATGTGTGGTTGTATCTAATATATTTGTTTGTGTATTTATGTATATACAATCAATCCTGAAATTATTCATATTCCTGGCAAATTCTGAGTTAAATTTACTTTGGTTCAACCAGCAATAAAATATTATTGTAAAAATAATATTTGTTTACAAATAATATACTGGGCTGTCATGGTGGCACAGTGGGTAGCACAATTGCCTTACAGCAAGAAGATTGCTGGTTCGAGCCCCGTCTGGGTCAGTTGGCATTTCTGTGTGGATTTTGTATGTTCTCCACATGTTTCGTTTGGGTTATCTCCAGATGCTCCTGTTTCCCCCACAGTTCAAAGACATGTGGTATAGGTGAATTGGATAAGCTAAATTATCTGTAGTGTACGAGTGTGTGTGAATGTTTCCCAGTGATGGGTTGCAGCTGGAAGGGCATCCGCTGTGTAAAATATATGCTTGATAAGTTGGTGGTTCATTCCGCCATGGTGATCCCAAATTAATAAAGGGACTAAGCCCAAAAGAAAATGAATGAATAATATACTGTAAAAATATTCTCTAAATTCAGAATTTGACAGGGGTATGAATAATTTCAGGCTTAACTTTCTGTATGCGTCTAATGTATGTGTTTGTGTATGTATATGTGTACTGTAAATGTGTGTCTGTGCAGTAATAATTGTATTACAGTAAAGTATTTGCAATTGCTTATTAGTATTTCACATTTATTTACAGAGACCTGACGTTCCTCCTACCACTCAGTTTGACAGCACTGGAAATCCAGGCTCTAAAACTGAAAGAAACCGATCGCAGGATGAACAATCAGAGGGCGAGTCTTTCCCATCGGTAAGAAGACATTTCACCGATTCTGTCCCAATGATAAGGCTGTTTCATTAAAGTCCACCTGAACCAGACATGGCTGAGACTTATTTCAGTATGTTCATGAACTTACAGTTGAAACGGAATATTGAGTGAGGGGGGCTTTCTTTTGCACATCATAGCATACTAACAGTAAGAGGTGCGTGGTTTAAAATGATTGTAGCTAAAGTTGTGAAACTGACGTCAACAAAGAAGAACCCCCACTACAAACGCTGAACAAGATTGCCTAAACAAAATTAAAAAAAAATCAGTGGATTAACTTGATTGGATTATTAATCACATAAAGAAACAAAATGTAGCTAGTAAAATGAACATTGTAAATTTCCATACAAAGATGTGAATTAAATTTATGTGCAAAACTGGAATTTATAATAAAAGATTTGCGAATAAACCAGCATTTCTCTACAATGAGTCAAAACAGGCGGTTCATTCTGCTGCGGCGACCCCTGATTAATAAAGGGACTACGCCGAAAAGAAAATGAATGAGTCAAAGACAAGAAAATAGTTAATTTCTGATAAACTGACGGCAAATATCAAAAAGGAAAACAGAGTTTGCTGCAGTTGGAAAAGCTGCGTGAGTGTTTTTCTTGTATCATAAATGACTTGCGCCATTAGAAGACAATGTCGACATGCAATGAGCACGCAGTGGTTTTTGCAGACATTACACTCTCGCTCATGACAGTCCTGAACGTAATAATAATTCTATAATTATAATAATACTTATGATGGACTTTTGGTTAAGGCATTTTAGATTGACTAAATATTTAATGTTTTACAATGTGCTCAGCCTGCTGGTTTATCCATGGACCCTTTTCACATTTCGGGGTTTCTCAGTAGCTGAGGTCGTCATAGCTGGATAATCTTAAAAGCACAGTGAATGGGAGGGCACAACAAAATGCAGTTGTTTTTATGTGCATTTTTTAAAAATCTGTGCGCATCTTGACTTTCCAAAATGAGCTAAAAAATAGGTGGATGGAAACATAGCTAGTGCCCACACTCTTCTTTCTATGACAGATCACTCAGATATTCAGCGTGGCAGGCAGCGACCACGCCGTCCAGGGCATGGACGTAAACCACGAACTGATGCCGCTCTTGAGATCTCTACGCAGTATAGTCCTCCCAGTTCTCTGGTTCTGCGTGGTGGTGGAAGGGCCGCGGTTACAGCTGCTGCAGTGCTCCAAACGCTCCACCATGGCGGATACCGTCATCTACATCGAGCCCGGCTTTCACTACCACATCAGCGTCCAGGACCAGCCGCTGCTGCCCACACACAAACTCTACGACTGCCACCCGTCTCGCCTCACCAGCGCGGCTGAGATCATCGCCCTCATCGAGGATCTGGAGAAGCACTCCGTCTGCCAAGGCTCAGAGCACAAACACAGCTCAGACCTGGTGATTCCCGAACGGGCGGCTACTTGTGACTTCCTTATTTCAGCAGAGGTAGAACGCTGTGAGAAATGCCAGACTTTACAAAGGGCGTAGAGAGAAAGAGAAAGCTGGAAATTGCTCTTATGTGATACATTTTTTTAATTTCTGACTTTGTATTCCAGCTCATTTGTGTGATTGAAATATTTTCTTACTCTAATATAAAATTATTGGAGTGTTTTGTTTGTCCTCAGATGAATTCATTGACTTGCGACTCAATTTTTGGTTGCTTTACTTGACAAACTTCCTATATTAATAAGCGACCACTAAGCAAAACATAATTTTTTTAACCCTTGAGTATGTGATGCATCATGGTACTACACATTGCACATCATTGAGGT